CAAACATAACCCGTCATCCCCATTCACGCCCGGAGGTCCTCTGGCATCCGCCTGCGTCCCACGAACACTTACACATCGATGTTGAAGAAGGTGCGGTTCGCCGTCCAGTAGTAGATCTGCAGAGCGGGCGCGTTCGTGATGACTCCCTCGGCGTCCACCTGCGGCGTTCCGAGTACGCCCGCCAGCGCCAGCGGCCGCTGCCAGTCGCCCATCCACACTGGGAACGTCAGGTTCACGCGCCCGCTCTCCAGGTCCTTCGCCATGGGCACCAGCAGCAGCGCGTCGTTCGGCAGACACTCGCCGGCGCGCGTAGTGCACACGTCCGCGTAGCGCCAACGCCGCCAGCCGCTGTCCAGCTCGACCTCGCGCACGCGCCGGTCGAGCTGCTCCAGCTCCTGCAGCTGCCGCACGCGCAGCATGCTGCCTCCGTCGCGCGCCGTTACCAGCACGCGCGCCACGTTCTTCAAGGTGGTCCTGCGGTGGGCGTCGTAGTTGGTGTCGTTGATGGGGAAGTAACGCTCGACGAGCTTCAGCGCCCGCTGCGCTCGGCCCGTCTGCAGCGAGAAGAGGCGCTCCGGCGCGTTCTCGTGCTGCATTCGCTGAAAGCCGGTAGCGGCGATGGCCGTCAGCAGCAGCGGCACCAGCAGGAAGTACCCCGGATGGCGGCCGACGACGCCGCCCAGCCGCCGGAACCATCGCTTCAGCACCCGGTCAACCAGGTTGAACCGCTCGGCGCACTTCATCGCGACGCGACTGTGCGCTGAGACAGTGGGAGGCTTCCGTCAGCGTGGTTTCCACTGATGTGTTTGGCAACGGACATGGGCAATACGGAATCTGTCGGTGCGTACGTCGCTCGGCCAGTGGCACGGCACGTGCCTTCGAGGCTTCACTGATAGTGAACGGACGCTGCCTTGGCCGTGGGCAATCTCTAAGGCGTCACTTTCCTGCTTGGCGTCGGGCGCTTATAATGCGGTAAGGCACCCCGCTTGACATTAACACTTGAAAAGCGAGGAAAACCTCAAGCGTTTAGTTTTGTCCGTATTGTAGGATTATATACACATATACATGCATATATAAAGATAGATATGCACATACATATTTGTGTACATATACATGCATATATATATATGTACATTTATGTAAAATATATGTATATATGCTTGTATATGTATTCCTACAATACGGACAAAACTAAAAGCTTGAGGTCTTCCTCGCCTTTCAAGCGTTAATGCCAAGCGGGGTGCCTTACCGCATTATAAGCACCCGACGCAATGCAGAGATGTGACGCCTTGGAGATTGCCCATGACCATAGCAGCGTACGTTCACAATATATATATATATATATATATATATATATATATATATATATATATATGTATATATATATATATATATGTATGTGTGTGTGTGTGTGTGTGTGTGTGTGGTGTGTGTGTGTGTGTGTGTGTGTGTGTGTGTGTGTGCACAGCAAATTTTGGACACCACCGCGGGCGCTAAGCACTGGTTTTATCAGCTGAATCGCCGCTAATCGCGCGCAGCCGGTATTGGCAGCAGATAGTTGTTACTTAAATTGCCGCTAAACCAAGCCGGAGACGGAATTTCCGCCCGCGAGACTACCAAATGCGTCGTGGGTGGAACGCTCTTCGCGGTCTTGATCTGAGCAGCGGCGTGAAGGCCGCATCAGTCAGCCAGCCGGAAGGAAGATGCCTACAAGCGAACGGCACGAGCCAGCTGATGCAACAGCTTGGCTGAGCGCACAGGCATTATCCGGGCAAACGACTCCTGCTATCTAAGCGGGGGGGGGGGGGGAGCGATCAGGGCATTGTCGCAGATCGTTGCGTGCTTTTGGCGCCGGGTCTTCTCCCTTCCTCGATCTCAAAAACGATACACCTGGCAAAAGGAACTTTTTTGTAAAGGCTTGTTGAATCCAAACGAAGTGTAGGAGCATCTTAGTATTGGAATGGAAGAGCAGTTGCAACATAGGCGCGTGTTAACTGGTGTTTGCAGGTCCTCAAAGAGATACAAATCTTCACCCTCGAGTTTTGATGTTCTTCAAAATTTCGGCAGCCTTCACAAGTGGGGGTAAAAACGTTCGTTGATGAGCGCGGTTGGAGCGACGGATACTTAAAAAAATCATCATATGGTTTTCTGCAGCACTTATTCTTTACAGTTTCGTGTAGCAAGTGTTAAGAAAATCTGATCAAATGATCATTTGTGGCGAAATGTAGACGCGATGGAGTATCATTTCTTGCAGCTTTGTGCAAACCCAGCGTTGTGGAAATCCACCACCTCTGTTGAGTTGCTTATGGTACTCGGCAAGGGTGGCTTCAGTCCACCAACTTCGGTAGAAAAGTGTGTTAACTAATCACTACACTGAACTTAACTGCTGTCTCCTGTTTCCCTCGAATTGATTGACTGGAATTGATTTCCCTTAAATTGATAGCTTGACACCTGGATCCGGCTTTCCCTCTTGTTGATCCTGCAAAACTCCGTCCATGCCCATCACTGCAACCGGCTGGAGGGCAATGTCAGCACCACTCGGAGGGTCAGCTGTACCCATCATGTCCCGAAACACTGGTTCCGTTTGCACGACTCTTCAACCAGTCCAGCACAGTGGATGATGCGGCAGATCTTCAGAGGAGAGTTATGTAACCGGGCGATGCTATCATGGGCATGTCGAGGTGTGGTGACTCATTACATCATCTGGTTAATGACGTCACTGCGGTGGAATAAGCAGCGCGAACGAAGTACGTTTCATCCATGTTTGTTACGAGCTGACATTGATGATAAGGAGCGAGGCTCGCAGAACCCATTGGGCCCCACAATGCGTTCAGTTTGCCTAGTGAGTGGATGTGTACTGTAGCCGCGCTATCGTTGTCTCAACTGGACTACAATGGGTGTGTGGTCGAGGGTCGGGAGAAGGACTGGCAACAAGCGGCTGAAAAAATCCTCTTCCAGGCGGTTTTACCAGCTAAAACCGGATGGACACTGCCGATGACAAAAACTCGTAGACAGACAATTCAAGGGTAGGAAAATATTCGTTGTTAGCCAATGGAGTATAAGAGAAGAGCCCAATAACATTACAAGTTAACTTCAGCATTGTTAATGTCACCATACTGGAAGCATTCGATAGTATCGAGAAATAAAGACAACGCTAGCCACAACGTTTCGAAAAATGGAAACTTAGCCATGAAGGGATGCTGAACTAATGAAAGCACAACTACAAAGGAATGGCTGGACCGCAGTTAAATAAAGTTGAACTAACAGACACATGGCTGCAAAGAAATGGCTGAACCACAGATTAAGAGGGAGTGGTAGGGAACGAATGGTGAATTCGCGAAATGCGCAATAAAGCTTTGTTTTGCTGACTGGATTAGCTATGGTAGGTTGGACTAGCTGTACTCCGAAGCGTCTATTGAAGCAGCCGACGCTCAAACGGTAAGCAGAACGATCTTATGACGCTCCCGGAAACTTTTAATGATACTAACGTTGGAATCAACGCCGTAGTATTCTACGAAACTTTTACCATACACAGTTTCATCTCAGATCTCTAAATTAGTTACGCACACCATCATTAGGCAATCGGCGTTCCTTTTCTAGCCAGAACAAGATCGGTGTCCAGCATGCAACGCCTGCAGTGATTGCGCGATGTGACGCCACACAACTGACGCGAACTTTGCTTTCCGCGAACACGGTGGTGCCTGGGCGGTAGCCACGGGAGCAGGTAGCAGTCACGCGATTGGTATTGCGTGTGCTGCCTTGGACCAGTTCCAAAACGCGATGCATGTCGTTTGGAATTGCCTGTCATTGTACTAGAATATCAAAGTGTGGAACATCCACCTAATCGTGGCATGCACACGTGAACGTCTGACTTTTTGCGGGAAGTTCTAAAACGGCCGTCTTTCGCCTGCCTTTCACGACAGGCCATGGTTTTATTTTTCTTCGTCTGCCACCGTCTTCCTCGGTAAAAGCAGTTGGGACGTCCCGATTTTCCTACAGCCACTGCTAGAACTCAGTCACTGTTCTGAAAACTTTACTTATTTAGCTACCTTCACTCAGTTACGACAAAAGATCGAAAGTTGGTGTGAGATATTATGGGTTTTCTCAGATTTGGGGAAGACAGAAACGACTATAATTTCGGTTCAGTGCGATGCAATTATATTTGCTCACAATGACTTTCTCAGATCAATAACCCCTGCAAACTTGGAACAGTCCCTTAAAGCTTTCGCCGCAAAGTTCTGTCGTCGACCAAAAATTTGAGATAGAAGCAGGCCTGGCGAAACGTGCGCTGCTTATACCATGGCCACCCCCTCCAGAAACACAGTCAATCAAAAGGTATGGGTTAAATACATAGCACCACTTCTTTTCCGTGATAACGATAATACGGAATGAGGTCTCCCGATTATGCTGCAATTTTCGGTTCAACAATGCATCGGATTTGCAAGGAAGTAAAAAGGTTAAGTTAACAGTGAAACTCTGTACAACTATCGTTTCCGAAAGGCGGACAGAACAAAGTTATTTATCGTTTTACTCAACAATGGCAAGCGTATTTTTCGCACAGTCAAGACTGGAAGTGCATCCAAATAACCATGTAACAAAGAAACGTGGTAAAAAACAAACAATGGTATCCGCATCAGTGATCTCACATTGTCAAATCATGGCTGTACAGAAGATGTATCTTTGACGACAAGGACGAGTATCTTGTCAACGCCACCCCGGGGCGCTACATCGCTACCGCTTTGATACCCCGCGGGGTGGCCCCGGGGGGACTTCACGGGTGGATCGGGACGAGGGGTGGCTCCAGGACGGATCAGCACCGCCCACGGCACGAGCTTCACTAGATTTGTTCGAGAATCGTTTCGCTGGAATGCACATCAGCTTAAAGGGAGTGTTTCACACTGATATGGGGTTTTAAACTGAAGTAGCCATTTTAAGGCCTTTCGGTGCTGTTCACAAGCCTGTTCTTCTTGAGACTTAAGCCCTTCTAGTTTGTGAGCTAGATGCCCGCGAAAATGGGAAAAGGTTTCTCGGGGAGCGTATTTCAAAATTGGCTTGGCATTCATGACGTCATAATAACATCATTCAAATCCTGTCATTTCATAGGCCATGCGGCGATCAATGATCATATCAGTGAAACACAATTGTCGAGGCGGTCATATCTGGCGTTCGTGAGCGCGATTTCCAGATACAACGGCCGTCATTTGGCTTTCAATCAACGTTGTGCTAGGTGCAATGGCGTCATTAAAACCATGACGCATTGAGGAGCATATTCACTGAACAGAAAATTGTGTTGCCTAGAGCGATGTTTTCCACTAGAAAATAATACCAATAAATATAAGTGAGCGCGTTTCATCATATGTACTGCTTGTTTCAATATCTTCAAATCTAAAACATTCCCTTTAAGATTGCTGTGCTGTGGCTGTGACTATACATAGTGACGCCCCTGTGTCGACCATTGGTCTAGCTTTAATACCTATCTAAAAGACTGCACAACTGCACGAATGGATCCTAAAAGAATCTTTAGCAAATTAATAGTTAAATGTGAGATCCATTGAAGGTCTTTTAGCCAGAGATAAAAGCTCGGTATCTCGAGGTTTTCAGAAATCCAAGACCTCGTGAGATTATTTGGCAAAATCGAAAGACCCAGGACCTCTGAAGATACTTCGCCAAAGTTTAAAAATTATCCGGATTATTGAAGATCTTTTGAAAAAGCTTCTACAAGATCCAAGATGCCAGGAATCCTTCAACAAAATTTCAAAA